AGCTCTTCTGAAAGAGCTTCCGCATTATCTGGTGTTTCACTAACGTCTCTGATACCATCCAGTACTAGTTTAAACATATTTGGGTCGAACGATTCTTTATACCATCCTTTACCATACTTTTTGAAACATCTGCTAGAAGGGTTTCTTACATCACAGATTTCAATTAAAATCGCTAAATGATCACTCTGGGTATAAATGTCACTAATCTTCCAAGTGGTTTTTGGTGCCAGTGATTGGGTGCAAAATGCAATGTCAACGACGGAGCCCCTGCCATTTTTCTCAAAAGTGTTTTTGTTACCTGTATTCAGTAAGAACAAGTCGAGTGGTGCAAATGCCTTTAATAGGGCGTGCCCTCGTCGGTTTGTTCTAACGCTTCCCCATTCAACGGCCCATGCATTAAAGTCACCCGCTATAAGTTTTGGAGAATATAACATGGCGTCTTGAACTAGTCTATCTAGAAAAGATTCAAATTCTTGATAACTCAGGCTCGATGGTGCATAATAGCTATAGATATATATCCCGCCGATCCTACCTCTGACAAAATACTCCTGACTATAAGGTTTCTCAGCAAGACACTGCTCCCCATTGACCCATATAGCAGTTGTTTCTTTTTTACCTGATATCCATGTACCCTGGCTTGCTGTCTTATATGGCTCGCTTAAAATAGCGATGTCAATGTCTTCCTCTATAACGGTTGGACAGAGTAGCTCCTGAGCAGCTGAACAGTGGTTAAGATTTAATTGTAGAAGCTTCATACTTTAGCCTTTAATGCACGCTGATAGAATGGGCACTGCTTACCACCTGCAATATGGGCTTCATTGGCTTGACCACTAGATTTGCAGAGCACGCAAGCGGCTTCCTTGCTACACTGTTTAACATTGTGGCCTTTCTCCCCGCATTTAAAGCAGCAACCGCTGCGATCCTCATATTTGCAGGTCCGCGCTTGGTGCCCAAAATCTAAACACCTATAGCATCTGGAGAGAGGAGTTTTTTCCCGGATACGGCAAACTGACCAACCAATCCAAATTTTTTGGCACGTTAAAATCTTCTGCGCGATAAGCTGTGGGACAGATAGTGAAGCTATCTGTGTGCCTGGGTATCCCTTTCGGATGGTTTTGACCCAGTTTACATCGAAATCATCAATTGCCGATATTTGTTCAGTTATACACTTAGCTACATCTTCCTTGGTCGTGATCTCATCCATATCATGTATCTCAAGCGTGGTCAAATTGGACAGAGCCTTTATCTCCGCCACATTTCCCAGTATCTTTTGTACGCCTGCCTTGAATAACTGCGTATTTTCATCATACGCGTGCTTAAGCTCAAGTAGTATTTCACCTTTGGCCGTTTTGCGCACTCTTTTTACTTGTTCTCCGAGCTTGTTTCATCAGCAGAGCCTTTTACAGTCCTTAGAATGTCGCTATAAGACATGCCTTTCTCATTGACTTTCTTTATAATGATAGCGTTCGGCTTAACTGGTTTGGGTCTTGGTTTTTTTGCCTTCTTCCTCGTTTGTGTAACCCATTCACTAGGTTGCAATTGATTCGCGTTTGCCAACGTTTCGCTATAAGATGCAGCAATTACCTCTTTTTCACCATTTTTCTTTGTAGTAGAGCTCTCCTTTCGCTTTGGCGAGTTCACCACATGTTCGCTATAGGATGCAGCAATTACCTCTTTTTCACCATTTTTCTTTATAGTAGTGCTTTCCTTCGCTTTGGCGAGTTCATCACAATCCCGGATGTATCTTCTAGCCCTCGTTTACCAGTTTGACTCCCTTTCTTAAAAGGAGGAGAGGTCTGCGTAAACTTACAATACTTCACAACAGATCTAATTTTCTTTCTTCCGTTTGCTATGTTTGCCTTCTCGTAGAGCCACATTACCTCACTTACTAAGTACCTCATTGGCTGGTGAATGCTGCGCCTTGGAGGGGCCATCATACCAATAAGGTCCTTAACTTTACTACCTAAGAGCACAAAAGCATCTTTCTCTGCAGCTTTTTCGCTACTATTTGCTGTGTTTGCGTTGTTTCCCTCTTCGTGGTGTGTACCACTTAAATCAAGAGCAGCAACTCCAGCGTGCTCTACCGAGGGCCCCAAAGGTGATAAACACTCTCCTAGCCTACTATTTGCGGCCAAAATAGGTGACCTTGAGGTGCTCATGCTGCTTTTAAAGGGATCAGCTTCGATTTCATTACCCTCCATATTTTTCCCTTAGTTTCGGCCCTTTTTGGTGAGTTGGCATCAACTTTAAAGGGGAGTAAAGCTTTTAACTTTTAGGCTTTGAGCTTTGGCTTTTGTTGGATTGTGTCCCGGCTAAAAGCTCTAATCAGAACTTTATGTATATGATGAATTTTGACGTATGTCAAAATTATCCAATCAGCTGATTTCATTGGCGCCAAAACTCAGTAAAAAGCTTTTGCTTATTAAATATTACCCAAATAAGGATTTATTACCTTTCAAGAAAAATGCAAATTTCATACCTGAGTGGCCTCGATTTTCTAACAGTGGCACTGGCACTATCTTCACACTCTTCTATTTACATTCTCTGGCAATTTTCAGTTCGTAAATCACACTGTAAACACAATTTTTTTCGAGAGAAAAACAATAGCTTACGTCCGCACTGCACATATGTCATGTATGTATCTATGCACATATGTATTTATCGAGCACAGGGGTGCACAGCGAAGGTGCTCTCAATAAATTCCGCGAAGCCTTTCCAATCAGGTTTAGAAAAGTTGATATAGGTCGGGTGGTGTATCGATCGATATGACTATGGGCATATGGTCTGATGCCAAAGTCAGCATAGGTCGCCATGATACGCGGTTTATCAGACCAGGTCTGGCTATTGATATGTTTGGCGAGCTGCAGTAGCTGCCCATAATCCCGGTGGGTGCGTCGTCGTTCATTGTGCAGAATGTCGAATCGCCTATCTGCTCAGCCAAGTCTGTTCCCCTACGATCGCTTGGCAGGCTTGAATGCCAATGATCGTGGGGCGCATTAAAGTCACCTACTACCATACGGTTTTCACCTCTGAGGAGCGCACTTATATCAAGGTGATATCCTGCCAGGCAGCTGGTGACAGGAAGTATATGAACGTTAAATATTTCGAGCTCGACATCGCCTGATCGGATAGGATAGCAATGCCCTGATATTATAGGGTGGTATCGCTGCGGTCGATGTCTGCTTCAATATGACGATACTGCACGGTGTGGTGCGTGATGAACGCAAAGCCACCACCTTTATCTCGCTAGCGATCTCGACGGTACACGTTGTATCCGGCACAATTCAAAAATGTTGAATTGCTGTGCAACTTCGTCTCTTAGACCGCAGCTGTCAATATACCATGCCTTCCCATGAAGACGGTTATCTTCTCGATCTTGCTCTGAATTCCGTTACAGTTAAATTGAAGGAGCTTCATGTGGTTCGGGAGACGTGTTGTTATGCGGGATGTGAGGGATGTGTGTTGCCTTGCCGGCATTGGCTGTGTGCGATGCTGTGGAGGATGCATCCCTGTTATGGTAGTGGGTGTCGTTGCAATCTCGCGTGGTGCGCAGCCCTGAACATGAGCTACAGTAGCACCAGCCAACGCAGGTGTTGCACTTGACTGATGTCACTTTACGGGATATCCTGGTTTGACATACCGTACAGGTTGTAGGAGGAACCAGAAGTTGTTGGCGGCGGCGTGTGGGTGGTGGTGCGGTTGTGTGTTCTGTCGTGGTTGTGGTGCGGTATATTGTGTTGTGGTGCTGCGGTGTTTGTGTTGAGTTGCTGAGGTGGACTGGGGTTAGCCATGAAGGCTGCTCTGTTTGAGCAGCAGGGGGCCACAAATGATGTGGTCCACTGCCGGTGAGTCCGTAGGCCTGAGCAGTCGCTGAGGTGACTCCACCCGTCGCAAGCATTGCACTTAACTGAGGTGGAGTTGTGGTGTAGTCGTCTCTGGCATACACAGCAGGTGTAGGTTTCTGGCCCTGGGTTTGGCTCGATGCTAGCCCTGAGCCGAAGAATACGTAGCAAATTTAGCCCTATGGACGAACAACTTCTGAGCTATTTCGCCGACCTAAACGGGGTTCGATAGCCGAATCAACAGCCCTTGGTCGGGTCATATGTAGTTGCTAACGGCGTAGCAATTATTTGGCCATATATATGTACACATGTATGTAAATGTGTGTGCTCTGTTGCATGTAAGTGCAATTTTACGTTAGGGTACTTCCCCCTTCTTTTATTTGGTTGAGCTTGAAAGCCTAAACATGCCGTTGCAAGTTGCCACTTTTTGGTGCTCGTCATGGTTTCCTAAGGCTGTAGAATAAAAATGAAATAAACAGTACATGGCTTGACATTTCAGTGCACAAATTTTGAATATATTTATTCAAGTTTCAAAAATAGCGTATGTTTCCATGAATTACAAACAAAAAAATTAAACGGTATAGTAAAAAAAACGGAGACCACATATGAATCAGTTATACATAGTTTAAGATTGGCAAGCCCCTGACAATAGCCAGCCGATTAAGCTATTTTGTGCCACAAGATGGCCGAAGGAAGTAGGCAGGGCGCCCGGCAGAACGATCTCCGGGTAGGCGTCCGCATCTAGCACCAAATGTATTGAAGTCGATGTGAAGAAGTTAGGATCTGCCAGGCGAATGTTGTTGTATGTCGCGGCTATATAGCAGTCGACGCTAGCGGTAGGGCTTAGCTGCACATAGTTAGCGACTACTGCTGCGTGGATCGCCAGCTTAGCGCTTTGACCATGTTTCCGTCTCAGTCGAATCATGCAGCTTCGTTGGTGCCCGAAGCCAATCTCCCTTAAGCCCAATTCTCACATCAAACTGGCCGATATTATAGACGCTGGCGCGCACACATCAATTAAGGCGCGTATGAGGTGTAAGCGTCCTCTAGATTTTTTCTTGACAACGGCTGTGGGGGAAACTGCCGTAAATGGTCTCAAGCCCTTAGCGGCTATCGTTACTTGGCCGGTTCTTAAGGGGACGGGTAGTTGGCGAGGCGGAGTCTCCAGTCCACCCCGTCGTTCATCGCTGTGTTTCCGATCAACGCTGTCGCTCAATTATTTCGCCCTCTTCGATTTCAGGGTGGCGGGTTTGGGAATCCGTTCTGAAGTCTAACTCGTATATCGATAGTACCTTGTCTCGCTCCTCTTCGCTGGCAACCTGCTGGCTCCAAGGTCTCCGGTCGTATGGTGCTTATCATGGCATCGGCGGCATCGGTCGCGATGCGTCATCGACAAGCAATGGCCGCAGAACCGCCCTAACAGAGCCTCCCGCAAGAGCTCTTCCTGAATCTTTGCCTGATATGCTGGGCATAGTCAGATTAGGTGCTTACCCTCGCAGAAGCGGCACGCTATTTTTATTTATTTTTTATTTTTATAAATTTAATGGAAAGGCAATTTCGAATTGCAAAAACTTAATAGCTAAATTATTGAAGTTAAGTACTGATGTAAATTTAGAAGATTTGTTTAATATCTAATATACTTTAGAATTAAGTACTTGAATAAAAAAATAAATAATCAAAAACATTGGGATAGTAAAAGCAAGAAAATTGTCAAAACGGTTTTATAAATGAGTGTGTTTCATTAAGAGTGTAATTTTGTGTTAGTATGCATTTCCTCATTTACATTAAAACGAAAATACAATAACTAAAATGAAGCTGATTCTAATGAGATTTTAAATATTTTCATATTTACAAAAACTTTAATTTCAAAGATATTGAGTTTTATCAAATATGGTAAATGCCTAACAAAGGTTTAATTTTTTTGACAGTACAGTCAACTATGAGAGAGCTCCACTGAATTGTCACTTCTACCTTGTTGAATATGCCTTGGTACAAATCAGAGGTGGGCAAACTCACACTATCACACACATGCGCTTGTGTGCGAAGCAGCGAAGTCTTGCTCAACAGCCAGGGCTCGGACTATACCACATTTGTGGAAGAGATAACACTTTTTTTGCTAAATTACATTTCTACTACTTCTACCACCGTAAGCTAAAAAACTACCATATCTTAAAACTTCTTTTTTTTAATTTGTCCATCTGCGCATTAATGAATGAGCATTTTCGACAATAAAAAGTAACATTGCTTGCTTCGACATCCACACATGTATGATTCGTGCATCTTACGATAATTGACGATTCACTGATGCTTTGCTATCACTTCGGCAAGCAAATAAAATCAGTTGCTGCTGAGATTTCACTGCGCAGCTATTCGAATATCTCAGCGATTTTTTTTTTGCAAAACAAAACAAAACGTGCTTTATTTGCCCTAGAAAACATTAAAAATCGTAATAACCTTGATTTCGAATATTGAACCCATTCACCTTCCTTGAATTGAAATACAATCAGCCAGTTACACCCAAAAATTTTAAACTTTTTTTAAGAATTTCTATAAAAAGTTTAGGTATGCAGTTTTATAGCCTATTAAATTTATGTGCAAACTGGTATGCAGTTACAGTTCCACGGCTATACTCAATTCGACTCTTGCGTCCTCGTTCGCGCACTCTGGGCAACGTGCGCAACCCATGTGCAAGATGCGGTAACCAATCCAAGTGGAGCCTTGGGTCACGGGAGAAAGAGAGGGAGCTTCGGTGGAGCCACTCCGACTTATTCGGTTTAAGGGCTCACTGGAGTCTGCAGCGTCTGCTCACCAGTAGGTGCGGCTGCAAGCGGGTGTCTGCTTGTAGCAAACAGCTCGCTATATAAACGTTTATTTAGCTGCGAAACCACCCCGGTCCAAGCAACGGGTTGTGCGTTGAGCTTGGGACCCGCCACGTAAAAACCACTTCCAGTGAAGAAGCAAGGTAAAGCCTCGGATTATCGGATTGGACCCCCTTATGATGACGACCACGGCAAACATTTAAAGGACTACGATTTGAGGGCATGCACCTGGAATGTCGGGACCCTTAATGGGGTACCCCCGCTTCCAAGAAATGCGTTAGACGGGGCAAGGCAAGCAATGTATGGGGCCTTGCAACGTCTACTACAGCTGCCATTAAAAAGAGTGATTCGGAGTTGGATTTGTGGTGGGAGAGAGACTCCGTCGCCGAGTACTGTCGTTCACCCAGGTGGACGAGCGTATGGCCACAATCCGCATCACAACGATATTCTTCAACACCTCGCTCATCTGCGCCGATGCCCCGACGGAAGAGAAGGATGAGGTATCCAAGGATCTCTTCTATGAGCGCTTGGAGCGCACACTTGGTGACTTTNGAGAGAGACTCCGTCGCCGAGTACTGTCGTTCACCCAGGTGGACGAGCGTATGGCCACAATCCGCATCACAACGATATTCTTCAACACCTCGCTCATCTGCGCCGATGCCCCGACGGAAGAGAAGGATGAGGTATCCAAGGATCTCTTCTATGAGCGCTTGGAGCGCACACTTGGTGACTTTAATGCCAGGGTGGGCAAGCAAGGGATCTTTGGAACCACCGTCGGAAAATTCAGCCTCCACATAGAAACGTCCGAGACCGTATTGAGGCTGATCGACTTCGCCGGGGGTAGTATGCAGTACTAGGTTCAAGCATAAAAAGATCCATCAAGCTACGTGGCTGTCTCCGGATTGAAAAAAGAGAAACCAAATCGATCATGTTATGATAGGCGGAAGGCATGCTTCCAGTATTTTAGACGTACGCACACTCCGAGGCCCAAACATCGACTCGAACCACTACCTTGTTGCAGCCAAGATACGCACCCGCCCCTGTGCAGCAAAATGTGCAACCCAAATATGCAAGGAAAGCTCAACGTCGAAAAGCTGCAGTCACAACAGACAGCCAGTGTTTCGCTACTCGACTCTCCCACCTGCTCTTAGAGAGCTCTCTTCAACAAACCGAGATATGCGAGCAGTGGAATCACATTTCCCGCTCAGTAAGTACCGTCACCGAAGAAGTAGTCGGATTTCAGCGAGCCCGAAAGAACAACTGGTACAATAAGGAGTGTCAGGAAGCTGCAGAGAAAAAAGATGCCACCAAAAGGGCCACGCTGCGATCGGGCGCAACGCGCGCGCTGAGACATAATTGCCGCAATAAGAAGAGGGAGGCCGAAATACGTGAATGCAAAGAACTTGAAATTCTGGCGACTTACGGAAGGTTTCAAGACCAGGGCGTACTGCTGTAAGGACAAACATGGCGACCTAGTAACCGATATTCAGAACCTACTTAAATTATGGAGGGAACACTTTTCCGCCCTACTGAATGGTAGCAGCACGGAAATTTTTGAAGAAGAACCCGAGCCCGCAGTCGATGATGACAGAATCGACGTTCCACCGCCTGACTACGACGAGGTACGAATAACAATAACGCGGCTGAAAAACAACAAATCTGCTGAAGCTGACAGCCTGCCAGATGAGCTATTCAAGTACGGCGCCCAGTGTAATATTACGGGAATCTAGTGGAACTTTAATAAAAAAAATTGTGTTCCAAATCGGGGAAAAAATGTTTTTACGAATTACAATGCAATGTTANAATGTTAGGATGTGCTGCACATGTGTGTGCAAATACGAACCCTGCTAATAGCATAAAATGAAGCGAAAAGATATATTTGAAACTTGGTTGAAAGCAAAAAATACTGAGAAGAACAAATGTATTATTCACAAAATACTGGAAGCACACAACTTACAAGATTCTGAATCTAGTAGAAGGGCTCTGGAAATTTGTGTTAGCCGTCTTAGTAGCAAACTTAAGGAAAAGTGGGAGAAATGTAAGCGGATGAAAGCAAGATTTCAATTAGAAAACCAAGACTGGTTAGAAGGAAAAATCTCATTTCCATCTGAATTTCTCGATAATCTGCCGTCTTGTAGTAAAATTTCTGGAGTTGGTCGGCCCGAAAAACATTTTGAAGACTGCCACTTAAAAGTGAAAATAAGGAAATTGAAGGAAGTGGTCTTCTCTTCATCACAAGAGAAACTACCTCTTGCGACAAGGATGAAGTTGATGTCTTCTAGAAGGAGGGATGCTGCTAAAATTGTAGAGGAAGTTTCATTTTCGCCAATTTCGCACGCTACAAAAATAAAGAAGGCTCGAGAATTTCTTAATAGAACAGATCCAGAGCTTTCTCCAGAAGCTGTCTTGGTCTGGTTGATGCCAAGTATAAAACAGTACAACAAGCGAAAAGCGTACATGCTAACATATATCCGGCATATAATCTTGTTAAAAAAAAAAAAAAAAAGAAGTGCTACCCTCCAGAAGAAAGGATTATTATTACTGATACCTCCGCAGAAGTAAAGCTACAAGAGCTCCTCGATCTAACGGCGAAAAGAATATGTGAAAAAACCTTATTGAGGAAATGTATTATTCTTCATCTGTGTTACAGTTTCGACTTCTGTCAAAATGGGGCTATGATGGGAGTTCAGCACAAAGACAATATAAGCAAAGGTTATCAACTGAATGCTCAGAAGATGGCTCNAAATTCTGGCGACTTACGGAAGGTTTCAAGACCAGGGCGTACTGCTGTAAGGACAAACATGGCGACCTAGTAACCGATATTCAGAACCTACTTAAATTATGGAGGGAACACTTTTCCGCCCTACTGAATGGTAGCAGCACGGAAATTTTTGAAGAAGAACCCGAGCCCGCAGTCGATGATGACAGAATCGACGTTCCACCGCCTGACTACGACGAGGTACGAATAACAATAACGCGGCTGAAAAACAACAAATCTGCTGAAGCTGACAGCCTGCCAGATGAGCTATTCAAGTACGGCGCCCAGTGTAATATTACGGGAATCTAGTGGAACTTTAATAAAAAAAATTGTGTTCCAAATCGGGGAAAAAATGTTTTTACGAATTACAATGCAATGTTAAAAACAAATAAAATTATAGTTTAAAAAACTAAACCCTCCCTATTATAATTGCCATTCGTACTGCCATCAGGTATGTAACTTGAGAATAGAAATTGCTGCATCTTTTAGGCGCATCAATATTACATAGTTACATCCCGAGCTAATAAAAGGAAGGTAATAATAAAAACCCTTATCGGCTCAGATTTGTGTAGGAGAAGTCCCGAAGTACAGAATTTTTTCACTTAACAAACACTTAAGCTTCAGTAGCAATCTCGCAACAATTGATAAAAGGTGTAGTGTGTCATTTTTAATAAATAATTACGTAAAATTTTATTGAATATCATTTCCTTGAATCTTTAAGTAAGGGAAACAGGTAAGTTTTATTATTTTATTACTACTCATCATATCGAAAATTTGCAATGTTTTCAACTCTCTAGATCAATTTATTTGAATCACAATTCTCCACTTTGCATTTAGTTTTAAAAAATTCTCCGTATGTCCCCTTTTTGAAAGTACTCTTTACTCCTCCTGCAATTCATAGACATTTTAGGAAAACTAAAATCGTTTGCCCAGATTGGCCCATCTTTAATTAATTTAAATTTTTTACAGACTAATAGCCAGGGTTCGTATTTGCACACACATGCTCTGCTCACACACACGCCAGATACACATTCAACNAAAAAAAAAAAAAAAAGAAGTGCTACCCTCCAGAAGAAAGGATTATTATTACTGATACCTCCGCAGAAGTAAAGCTACAAGAGCTCCTCGATCTAACGGCGAAAAGAATATGTGAAAAAACCTTATTGAGGAAATGTATTATTCTTCATCTGTGTTACAGTTTCGACTTCTGTCAAAATGGGGCTATGATGGGAGTTCAGCACAAAGACAATATAAGCAAAGGTTATCAACTGAATGCTCAGAAGATGGCTCTGACGAAAACCTTTTTTCCATATCGTTTGTGCCCTTGCGTTTAATTAATGACCAGAGAAATGATATTGTATGCCAAAATCCACGCCCAAATTCCCCACGATTTTGTAGGATCATCAAATTCTGCTTTAAAAGGAATCCAAGGATGTAATAATAACAGAGGTGAATTTAATGAAAACTTTTGTAGCAAAATTGGAGTCAAGC